CATTCCAACGTATGTGTGCTTCTCAGAATTATATACATGTTTATATATATATACTAGGATATTTAAATTTAGTAAAACCTAATCTCAGTACTCAACAGAAATCCGGCAAAACGTGTCCTTTAATTGGTTTGAGTTTCTCTCCATATATAGTTAGCTAGTTGTGGAAGTACAAAGTGATTTGCAGGCATGCATGGCTCTAGCTTCTAATTAAGTTCTAATTAAGGTCTAATTTCTCACCTAACTTAACTAATAAGCATCCTGTGTTGATATGGTTTGGACAAGAAATTCCAATAAATCAACCATTATATATAAATTACGTACATATATACGTACATAGTCAGTTTATCAAGCACTGATTAAGTTTAGTACTAGTATTGCTCCACAAAACTATCTATTAACTGCAACAAGGACCACATTTATATAGACTTAATCTGCATATACAACATTGGCTAGGTGGCTTCATGAAATCTTTACATACAACTACTCTTTTGAAAATTTGCATCCCTTTTGGGAACAATATTATCTCAACCTTATGCTGTCTTCGTGATCTTTCTTGCACCCTTTCCATCCCCAACAACTTAAATATATACCTAATAGTTAATTTAAAATTTTGCTTAATTATTTTCTGCAGTGCAGGAAGGATGCAAACACATGCATGTGAGATTAACAGCAGCCTGGTATTTTATTGTGAAGTGTTTGACAAGTAGCATGTCTGACGAACATTGTGAGACTGGTTTAGGGGTTAGGGTTCTTCAATCATTCTAGAGAGTCTTCTTTGATATAAACCTATCAACTACTACTTCAAATGTTACGAAAGTCGACAAAGTCGTCCCAATTTTCAAAAGTGAATCGTTGAGCGTTAGAGAATGTGATCAAACACGTCTCCTTTCTAGTCATGTATCCTGAGTCACTCGATTTATAATTTTCTTTACGTTGTTTGTAGATGCACGCTAACTTAAATAAATTTTTTAATTTCGTACATATAAAATATGATAAATTGGTTAAATAACTAGATGACTTGTTCCATGAATATATATCTATGTGAGTAACAGATTAACTCAGTCATAACAAACGCATAATCATTCATTCACATCCCAATTTATTGAATGAAACTGTGATATTAATCATGTTTGTGAAAGCTTCTCTGACAAGTAGCTTAATTAATGCAGTCAACCAAAACCCTAGCAAGCTAATATATATACATAATCAATATATCTTTCAATTTTAATCTTTGAGAGGCAGATAAATTTGTTTGGATAAATATTGTTGTTACTGGAGGCTTAAATAATTAAATGTTTAACAAAATTACACACTTTAAAACATTTTTATAATCTTGAAAGGAGGATGACAGATGGTAATCGTTTCTGCTAATCAATTTGTCTCCTACTATAAATATTGATAGTTACACAGACAAACGTCTAACAACTACTTTGATCATCATCCTGGCTAATCTTCTTTGACACAGATTATGATAATTTGGTCCCAAAAATTGGACTTGGTTGAAAGTGCCCAAGTCCTTAATTGTTTTCCTTTGCAATGTGGAAAGTGTCCTAATCGTTTGAAGCATTTCACAATTGCAACTTTAACTCCTGTATTTTAGTGATGAGGTTAGTTATGATTATGGAAAGATTGAGAGGTTTAGAACAGAATTATTGAGCATTTCGGCCCACAGCTTTACGAGAATTTAATTAATTAAGCACAGTATGTATGTAGAAGTAATCCATCACAATCTCTCTCTAGATTACTTGATAGACACTTCAAATATGAAATTGGTATAGGGGTCTTGATCAAACTCACCCGTTCTTCATGACCATCCAATGCTCATAACTTGCTAATATTTCATAACGAAACTACGAGGATTATGCGCGATTGACCGAAATTTTGGGTCATTGGAAAGGGAAATCAAATAAATTTAAGTATTTGTTATATAGGATTGATTAACAGGTGATAGTACACAGATTCATTTTCATGTATATACCACTGCAGAAGCATTTCTCTTGTTTTCTTCTCTTTCCCTTCTGCCAAAGACCTTCATCGGGCCACTCCACAAGCATATTGATTTGATGCATTAAGCACTTGAAGGACATGAAGGATATATGTGTGTGTGTGTGAGTGTGTGTATGTCTAGGGTTTTATATAATGTGTATATATATATATGTATAGCGTATAAAAGAATATCATATATACTCCTATCTTGGTGTTGAACAAGTATATTAGTTGCTCTCTCTACGACTTCTCGTTTACTAGCAACCACAAAACGGACCCTTCACTATTGTCAAACAAGAAAGTACCACCCTTGATAAATTGTCGAGCAAGAAGCCAAAACATAGAAAGAAACGGATCGAAGTTGTAATTATTACTGTTGGGTTTTCTGTAATGATAATACATATACATTCTAACGATCACTCTTGAGATCAATAATTATAGGGTAAATGTCAATTTTAGAAGAATTGTAATAGTCATCAATTCATATATTTCTGCATTGCAGAATGCATCATGTGAGTATTTACCTTGGTTCAGGCATTAACATCTGAACTACTTATGTGCAGATATGATTGTACATATTTGGTTGAGGATATTGAGCTTAATTAATATGTATCATTCGGACATATCCATTAATATATTTTGGCCATAATCTATAGCTAGGCTTCTATCCCTAGAAATAAATAAAAAGATTTCAGCTCGTCCAACCAATTTGCTATTAGACAAAATAAGGATGAGAACTTTTGGGGGTGGTGCCATGAAACTGGGGTTCCTGTTCTCCAAGATGACATATATATATTGATTAACACTAATTTCCTACTGAAGAATAAACATAATGTATCAGTACTAATTATGGATATATATTAACATAAAAGAGCCAAAACACAAGGGAACCAACTACCAAGGGCAAGGGAATCCAGGGGGTTGTGTCTGGTTTGTGCCCTAAACTTTATTCCTCTCCTATTTTTCAGTACTCTTCAAGCATGTGACTCTCTCCGAGTCCTGCCAATAGACGCCTTTGTTATTGTTTATGCTAATGGTAGGTGGATCAAAATTTTAAATTAAATTTGTAAACTAAATTATGTGTTATTAATAAAAAATAAGCATGTTATATCAACACTTAAGTAATAATTCAATCATCAACAACCACATCATTTGGTTTACAAAATTTGGTATAAAAATTTGGTCTTTCTAGCATTACCCTATGGTTTATACATACATGTTAGCATCTTATATATGAGAAACAAATTAATGAGATAAAAGTTAATCTGAGAATTGAATAAATCATCGAATATAACATTAGTCTCAGCGTTTGGTCAACAAAATTTCGCAAGTACATCTAAACTCATATTTAGTCGTCGCTCTTGTAACATCTCACATCGTCCAGGGGAGTGGACCCTGTAAGCCTTATATGTATATTCCCATCTCTACCTAGCACAAGGCCTTTTGGGAGCTCATTGGCTTCGGGTTCTATCGAAACTTCGAAGTTAAGTGAGTTCGCGCGAGAGCAATCCCATGATGGGTGACCCACTAGGAAGTTCTCGTGTAAGTTCCCAGAAACAAAACTGTGAGGGCGTGGTCGGGGCCCAAAGCGGACAATATTGTGCTACGGTAAAGTCGAGTCCGGGATGTGGTAGGGCCTCGAGCCGAGATGTGACAATTTGGTATCAGAGCCAATCCCTGGCCAGAAGTGTGCCAACAAGGATTTAGGGCCCCTAAGGGGGTTAAGGGGGGTGGATTGTAACATTCCACATCGCCCGTGGATCATATAAGTCTTATATGTATATTCTCATCTTTACCTAGCACAATACCTTTTGGGAGCTCACTGGATTCGAACTCCGAAGTTAAGCGAGTTCGCGCGAGAGCAATCCTATGATAGGTGACCCATTGGGAATTTCTCATGTAAGTTCCTAGAAACAAAACCGTGAAGGCGTGGTCGGGGCCTAAAGCGGACAATATCATGCTACGGTATAGTCGAGATCGGAATGTGGTGGGACCCAGCCCGAGATGTGACAGCACTGAATCATAGTTAGTCGTCGCAGGCCGATGTAATGACACATATCATGCACTAATTGGTGAAACCCTATTATCTCATATGGAAGGGCATTCATTGGACAATTATGTCCAAGTATGACCTAGCTAGCACGCTGGCTGCTTCTATTTGAAGAAATTTTTAATTGTGACAGGAATACAAATGGTACACCACGTGTTTTTATGTAAGTGGTGAGAAATTTTATTTTTAAGTTATTAACTTTTTAACACACATATCTTACCATTTATATAACAACACATAATGTATCACTTCGTATGACGATCATACTAAAAAATCTCTCTTCTATCTGAATGTGAACGCGGTTTACGTGAAGCAGTGGATATATATACAGTGGTCGTCTGCACGTGATTTGTCTTATTTGAATGTAGCTAGTCTCTGTAACTAAGAATTATAATTTAATCTGTTATCATTTGCATCTTTCAGCAGTACTTGTCTAAGCTTCCAGTCACAATTACAAAAATAACCCTCCAACCTTCACTAGCATATATAGTACATGTACGTACGTATTCGTGATATCACACTTTGAATTAATTTTTATTCCAAAAATATCTAAGAATATAGTTGTAAAATCAGATTCAAACTTCTCATATGCAAGTGGTTATTTACCATAATGGTATAAAGGTATTATCATTGTATGACAATATAGATTTAAATCTCGTCAGTAATTAATCTAACATATAACTTATTAACGTTATCGTTTAAAACAAAAAAATCAAACTTCTCATATGTATATCCAAAGAGGAAGATCCCAGCTTCATTAACTGTAGGATATATACTTGAAAACAAAATTGAATGTGTGCGTGGGCCTTATCAATTACGAAGGTCATTTCTGTCAATTCATACTTCATGAGTGCAGGTAGAAAATCATGCAGTAATCCCAAAACAAGGATTTCGTCCATGATCATTGATAATATTAAAACACTAAACCTGGCACCCTTGTATCTCAAGACCCATAGTAGGTGAGAACTTCACCATCACACACAGAGGCCCCCATTTACTTTTCTTCACACCAGCTACTAGAAAGTTTAAATTCCAAATTTTTTGTGCATGCTGAGCAAGAAAAGCCCTAGCTAGCCTCACCCTCTCTCTCTCCCTCTCTTGCACCTTCATGATTCATCCGTTGTACCGCTCGTGCATCGGATCTCTTGATATTTTATGCCCAAAACAAAAAGGTTTTGAAAAGTGTCAAGAAACCTAATCAACATGTATGTACAGATATGCTTTCTCCATGCAAGGAAGATACCTAGTTGCTTTTTAATTTATTTTTTCCGTTTGGTTTTTAGCTACTTAATTACTAGCTCCTGCAAGTCTCCAGTACCCACATAGGGTTTATGTTGTTGAGTATTTTTAGGAGATGAAGAAAAATTAGATATTTTTTTTTTCCACCTTAGCAAGTTTCAAAGTGAGCAATTCTCAGTAGTATTCTTGATCATCGATCTCATATAATTATCTTTGTGATATATGCAGAAGCCAAACAATCCGGCCGGAAGGGGAAAACCCTAAAAGGAAATTTGATTTATCTTCACATCATGACAGCAGAACCAAAGGAGGAATTGCCACCAGGATTCAGATTTCATCCTTCAGATGAAGAGCTTATCACCTTCTATCTCATGAACAAGATAAATGATGCCACTTTTACTGGAAGGGCGATTGCCGATGTTGATCTCAACAAATGCGAACCCTGGGAACTTCCTGGTACATATATATAGTTGTTCTAATCCAACCCTTGTTTTCAATTCATGCATCACATGCACAAATTTGATCTATTTCTATATATCCGAAGTTTTGAAGTTTTTGCTGCAGTCAGCTCTTTCTTAGTTTTGTACGTATATGTGATCTGAGGGGTCAGGAAGGGGGGATTCGGATTTGTGAAGAGAAATAGCAATAGAGCAGTAACTAAATCTTGCTTACTTTTATCAGTTCTTTGTTGGATTTAATTTCTTTTACTTATTGATATTATTAATTAATTTTTAATTGGGACCAAATTTTTTATGAAACGTATTTAACTCGCGTGAACTTTGCATATGAACATTACATGTTTCATAGTATGTACTCTTCTTGGATCAAAAGTTTACATTCTTTAAATTAGGTGTACTCACGAGATATTGTTGTGAAAACATTTCTTGTAACATTGATAATGGAAAACAATTAAACATTTTCCCATAAATATAATGGGTATTATATTTCTATATTCTCACCAGCTTGCATAGACAAATTAGCTTCTTGTCCGATTTAGTAAAGTGATGATGAACTTATAATTTCTTGGATCAACTATTGTAGCAAAAGCGAAAATGGGAGAAAAGGAGTGGTACTTCTTCAGCCTACGAGATCGGAAGTACCCAACAGGAGTGAGAACAAACCGAGCAACAAGTACAGGTTACTGGAAGACCACAGGGAAAGACAAAGAGATCTTCAACAGTGTCACATCTGAGCTGTTTGGGATGAAAAAGACCCTTGTTTTCTACAGAGGCCGAGCTCCTCGTGGTGAAAAATCCAACTGGGTCATGCATGAATATCGCATTCATTCTAAATCTGGCTTTAGAACATCAAAGGTACCTAATTAAATTGATTAATACCATCCAAGTATAAGTTGAATTAAGGATCTAAAACAACAAGTTTTAAGTTCCATTTTAACTAGTCTTATAATTAGTTGAAATCATCTTTGACATCAATAGAACTAGGGCTGATGAACTTGTGAAACTGAAATTCCAACCTCTCTCTAGCTTTCTCTCTCTCTCTCTCTCTCTCTCTCTCTCTCTCTCTCTATAGATGGAGCTATGGAGATAAACTTGTGAATACATGCACACATTGAGTTAAGCACAAGTTACATATTTATATATAGCATGATTCCATGCAAGATTTGCGAAACGTTGTTGATAGACGACAGTCCATATATATTCCACGTATATATAATACCTATATAATATCGGGTTTTACAACTAGCCAGTATACCTTGAACATAATAATATTCCGACCAACTTAGAAGACTAATACAGTAGGCAAGTCGACCCATTGCATGAAGTTAACGATAGATTATAGTACATGAACCTTAAAACTATTATGTTTCAAGTTATAGTATCATGTTCATTACCGATATTTTGTTGATATTTTAAATAGATCAATCAAATTAATGTCAATAAGATATTCACAAAAACCTAAAGCATACCAAATTAACAACATATCATACAATATAAAATTAGGGTTAGCTATCCACACATATCTTTTTATCTTTTACACACTCCTTCCAATTTTATTGTTGGATGGAATAAATTGGAGAAGATCAAAAGATAAAAATTAAAAGTTTGTGGTAACCACCACCCTAAAATTATGAATTGCTAATAAATGATATCCAAAAATATAGCGAAGAACAAAAAAAAAAGAACAATAAATCATCTATATGAAAAGTAAAAGAACATAGATATGCATGCCCCCGTGATTTATGTCTTCCACTCCATATTATTCCTTGCAACTAGATTTGATATTATGGATCAATTAATGATTAATTAACTAATCTGACTAGATTAATGTTGTATTAGCAGGATGAATGGGTGGTTTGCCGAGTCTTCCAGAAGAGCGCAGGCATAAAAAAGTACCCAACAAACCAATCAAGAGCGGCCAATCCCTACAACCTAGAAATAGGACCAAGTATGATACCATCACCCCTAATGCAGCTAGGTGATCCAAACCACCATCAGTTCCCCTATGGCAGAAACTACATGACAAGTGCTGAGATGGCCGAGCTTTCAAGAGTCTTCAGAGGTGGCGGTGGTGGATCATCAAGTAGCAATATCAACCTACCAATCCAACCCCAATTCAATTACCCAATTGGTGGAGGAGGAGGTGGCGGTGGTGTTGGAGGAGGAGCAGGAGGGTTTACAATGTCTGGGTTGAACTTGAATCTTGGTGGGCCAGCATCACAGCCTATGTTGAGGACAATGCCACCACCACAGATGCATCATCATGGCCCTCCATCTATGAATCATCATCATCAAGTGCAAGATGTTACTATGATGAACGGTCCAGATCATCAAGCTGGATACGGAACAATAGACATGAACAACAGCAACAACGCAAACGGTGGGAGTGGAAACAGGTTTATGAACATGGATACTTGTGTTGATCTTGAGAACTACTGGCCTCCCTATTAGGGTACTTAAGAGTATCCACCAATTAATTCCCAAGGCCAATTAAGTTAGGGGTTTGATATTCACACACCCCATTTTACTTCTCACACACCTTTTTAATTTTCAACCGTTGGATTGAATGAATTGAAGAAGATCAACGGACAGAAATTATTAAGAGGTGTGTGAGAAGTAAAATGGGGTGTGTGGATAGCACACCCCTTAAGTAAGAGACGAGCTTTCTTATTATTACTTACTGTTATGCTTTAGGTATAAAATCGATTTACTTTTCCTTCCCAGTTAGGGTAATCAAGAACTAAGAACCCAGCAACTAAGGTCAGATATATTATATATAGTCCTATGAATTAGAGTCAAGTGACTACTCTCGTTCAGGAACGTTACATCTTTGGTTATTCAATTTACTTCCATCATCTTAATGTCTTTCAACAATTATTAAGCTTATTTATAAAGTTGGTTTTGCCTTAACACACATTTGCCATCTCTTTTGCATTTTTTGAGTTGCTTATTATTACATTTCAACATGATTCACAATATCCAAACCGATGCTACGATTATGCACGTAGAAGGAGAAGTTGTGGCTATTGGGTCGTGGCCATGCTATACTGAAATAATGTCAAGTGGTGTAACCAGTATTTAAAATATTCACAAAATTGTAGAATATTTTCGTTGAAATATTCGAAAAATCAAGAATCAATATGGAAAAGGGGTGAAATGCAAACTTCACCCTATATGACGAGATATAGAAAAATTATTGATTCACAATAAAAAAATTTGCCAAAACTTATTGCAGATTTCAAACTTTTGATTTATTTTTTATTTTTAGAAACTTTTCTTTAATTCTCTGAAAGAGTTGATATACTTATCCCATTGCAAATTTCTATAATTTCCTTCGAAAACAACCGATATTGAAAATACATATCGATGTTTTAAACAGTGGCTGTAACCAATCTATATATAATATTATATGGGAATACAATTAGTTTTGCTCTGGGGAATAGTTTGATGGACATGCTAGAACATACGATGTATTGTACTATGCATGTGTCCATATTACACAATATCTTGTATCTAATATATAAATCGCCTAATATGTATAGTTTAAGCACTCCACCTTTGTTACACCACCTCCAATCATTGGTCTAAAGACATGCATTGGGAAGTTTTTTTTGGCTAAAAATTCAAATTTTAAGACAAACTGCCAACTAGCGTGCGGAGGGAGGGATAACTCTTACACTTGTACAAGGAATATCGACAGGTCAAAGAAAGAAAAATGGCCATATCGACAAAGCGTTGAGGGCAGTTGGTCACAAAACAGCACCAGTTTCACAAGAAATGCAGCCCAACAAACCAAACGGGCTTAATGAGGCTTAATGATTGAAAACAGTCTTCCATTTTATGCAAAGTTCAATTCGTGCAGCAACATCACCATTTCGATTATTAGTCTCTGTCACAACCAATGCACGCATCGGCCATCGCCATCCTGTAAGGCTAGCCGACCCGTGCCATTGGTGTTGAAAGGAGTACCGGTAAAGAAACCATTAACCACCATCACGTATGCTAAAAGGAGCTCACACAAATTAACCACCATCATTAACATTCCAAAGCTTTGATAACCACATAAATCGGTCTTCACTAAAATATTGATTCTCCACAGTGCTTCAAAGTTCGAAAGAAAAAACGAAGCGCGATATGAAGAAAAAGAAAAGAAAAAAAGAGGAAGAACAAATGTTAGTTTAAAAAACAAGAAAGAGTAGGCACGACAATCCTTTCGGCTGTGACTTTGTAAGAATAAAGACGAAACTAAAATACACCCTTCAACAACATGAGTAAAAACTGCCCACTCTACACACCAACTCCTAGACTTATCTAAACATCAAACTTGCGTATCACAGTTTCTAAAATTTTACGCAGGCGATTCAACCTCCATGAAGAAATGACATGTAAACAAAGCCAGTAGTCGCTTACTTCTCTGGATGGCCCCTTTTAGCCTTACGTCGTGTATGGTTGGTACCTCGAACGGGTTTTTTAGTCTTTGTGCTGCATAATGACGCACAAAGTCGTAATGAGCAAACAGAAATATGTTAGGATTACTTTTCATTAGAGAATGCGGTGTTCATGCATAAGCACGTATAAGTAACTAACCCGAAAAGTGAGGAGAAAATTCTGAACAGAATTATGATGGGCAGGGCCAACAAAGCCGAGGCCTGCAACATTTTAATTGTGATTAAATAAGGTGATCAAACCTAAATTTCAAAGAAAGAAAACAGAACAAAGAAAGAAATGCAAGAAGATTGATTTCATTATACGTACCGCAAACCACTCCAACTCCTTTGTAGCAAGAGGTCTTGTCAGTTCATGCCTCTTCAGCAAATCTTTTACTGTCCCTTGAACCTTGAAGAAATATTGATCACAAAATTAAATAACACCATAGCTGGTTCAGTGAATGGCTTAGGCTACGGGTGCATCCACCACGGCAAGAACATCCAAAGAAATAAAATAACACACAATTCATTCACAACATGCAGTCAGTCTTCAACAGAATATAACATCTGAACTGAAGACCATTCAACGCGGTCACTATAAGATAGTAGACAAAACATATATGTCATCTTATGTCATGATGAAGTGATTGGTCAAAGCAGTTGATAATTATATGTTAATTATCGTCATCAAATGGAAAAGAAAAAGAAAATAGAAAAACAAGGAATAATAAATGAACTTGCAATCAGCCTTTAAATAATTTGTATCTAACTAACAGTAGCATATTGAATGGAGGTTATTTCGAATTGATGTTGATACCTGATGATGGTATGTTGTTGCAAATTTGAGAAACTTCTCGTAGGCAATAACTGCCTTCTTTGTATAAGGCTTCAATACCACTCGAACCTTATCAACATGAGGTTTTGCCACAGTGGCCACCTGATCAACATACGGCTTGCTGAACCTTTTTGCTTCCTGTCACCCAAAAATACAGCTGTAGGATGCATGTAGGCAACATGAATGGACCAAATTCTTTGTCTAAAGAAATGTATATGTGAAAATATAGATACCTGAAAATAAGGATCAACAACTTCCTGCGCTTTTAGAACATGCGGAGCTAGTGTAGTCTTTGAAACTTCATAAACTTCAATAGTTTTTGCACTTAACGATTTCACATGAGGTTCAACAGTATCCTTCACCACCACCCATTGTTCCTTGATTGCCGGGACCCATTTCTTTAATAGGACAGACATGAAAAGGGGAGAAAATAAAGTTTAGTGAGAAAGGCAAACCATTTCATATAAACAAGGCATAAACCACAACTGAATAGGAGAACATACTAGCATTCATACATGCATACAAGCATACTAACATAAATGTAAACATACTAGCATGCATATGCGTGTGTGTGTGTATCCTGTAACATTATTAACGCCATGGAACGATTTTTTAGCTAGAGTCAGTGGAAACAGCAATACCATCAATCTCAGGTTCTCATTTAGTGTTATGAATCAAAGCTCTACATTGTTACACAAAAGTGGAAATAGAAAATAAAATAAATTAGCTTACGGTTTTTAATGTTGCCACATGGGGCTCAGCCCACTTTTCAGCCTGGGCTTTTTTCTCCAGAGCCTGAACAAATTTGAAGGACCTTGTCAGTTGTTGAAGGATAATACTACTCAGTAAATTAAGCATAAACTTGTAAAAGAGAAAATTGTAGGAGTGACGTATCAGATTCTTCAAGTGACCATACAGCAATTAATTGTAATACCTTCTGAATTGCAATATCCACTGCCGGTTTTCCATGAACTTTCCAGTGTGTCTCTAGAAAGGACTGCAAGTTGATAATAATGTCAATTCCTTGAAAAAAAGCTTTTCTTTACTACTGTAAAATGCACTCAGTTTACCTGGCACTGCATAAAATGTACAGCAAGCCATGGTGGAATCCATGCTCCATGCACCTGATTCAAAAAAACAAAATATCCTTTAGGGCTCGCGATCAAAACCTAATCACCATATGATATATAACATAAGGGGAAAGATGTGTGAAATCATATGATATATGGAGACCAGAGAAAAAAAAAGGGGGGGGGGCATATGTGCGACTGCAAATTGAAAGAAAATAAGCAAACTAAACTTTCGTTTCACTTTCAGATTCCAACTGAGCCATTGACAGATGAGTTATATAAATTACTGAAAAAAATTGAGAAATGAACTTTAAAGAACCTTAGTTCTATGACAAGCTTAAACAAAACCTTCAAATTCTATTTCTTAAGAAACTCACTTGACTGATTTTTTCTTAATTTACAACTAGCTCAGAAAGAATATAGACAAACATTGAGAGACAGTTAAAATGACAGAGAGAATTCATGCAACTTAATACCTCATTTAACTCTTTTGCTTTTTGAGTAGCTTCAAACTTTGCCCTTAACATTTCCTCCTGAAGACAAATTTAGAAACATAGACTGAGCATTAGCACCAACCCCCACCTAGAAAAATGCACTTCCGCAGAGACTTAAAAATTACCTCAGCCACTTTAAGAGCACGCTCAGTATTACGGATTTTGGTCTTCTGCTCATCATTAGTCTTTTCAATCTGTAAAAAGATCATCAGACATCATTCTACTATCCCCACAGGATAACATTAAGCAAATCTCGAGTAGCATTACACCTAGTATAAAATGATATGAAGGAAAAAGAAAATAAGAAGTAGAATTTTTTGTTCATCATTGTATAGAAGTCAAGAAAGTAACACAAAAAACACCACAGCATCCCAAATTGTGTCTACATTGGTTCTAAAGAAGGATGTAAACTAACAATATTGTTTTGCCCACCAACAGCTTACATTCTAATATTCTATACAAAAGACATTCACATTAACAAACTCATTTCTGTGGGAATAAACAGAGGACTCATCACAAAAAGGACACAAAACGTATTGACAATATCTACAGAGTCAAAAAATTCAAACCAAAACAAAACGGTGATCAATTGACAGAGTTAGTTAAAAATAAGACAACTTTTGGTATCCTTTATGTTACTATCATTCTTTACTTAACACTAAAATCCAATGCGAAACAATATTCTTATAATCAGAATCACTAAGGATTTTCACTATGAGCACATTCAGCTACAAAATAACTTATATCCCAAATGAGAAAAAAATAACTCACCTTCCCTATTTTTAAAAGCAAAACATCGATCTTCTTCTCAGCTTCATTTGCCCGGGCTTCCAAGCCCTCTTTCTCCTTACGTTGCGATTGTAATTCCTTTTTAAGTTCATTAACCTGCATAGGAGAATGAATGAATTGGCAATTCAGTGGTATTCTCTCTTTTCGCCAACAAGAATGTAGTGGTTTCCAGAGAGTAAAACAGTCCACTTCACCATATCTAACCTTTTTCTCCAGTTCACCGGCACGTGCATGAGCCTTCCCAACCAGCTGCTCAGCATCTAATGACCCTTTTTTCTAAAAATACAGAAACATAGACAGA